TGCACTCCAGCCTAGGCAACAAGAGTGAAACTCCGTCTCAAAAAAAAAAAAAAAAAAGGATATCTAACAGGCACTGGAATTGGCACTCCATCTGAATAAATTATCTAGGAAATGAACCAAGTTGTATGTCTTAATATCAGTCTACTCCTCTTTGTTAGCGTACTTCAGGCCTATTAACATAAATATAGATCATTGCCTTGTTTTTCTCAATTCAACTTAAATTTTGAGATCATTGTAGATTCCCATACACTTGTAAGAAATAATACTGGAGATTCCACCCAGTTTTCCCAATGATAACATCTTGCAACACTAGGACAATGTCACAACCAGGCCAAGATACAATAGAAATGATAGTAATCAAGATATAGAACATTTCTATCACAATGATCCTATCTGTTGTCCTTATAAGCCATACTTTCCTCTTGTGCTCATATAGCTACGCCCACCTTCGTAACCTCTGGCACCAGTGATCTGTTCTCCATCTCTGTAATTTTGTCAAAATTATAATTGGATTATACTTTGTTTTGGGATTGGCTTTTTTCACTCACCATAACCTCTTGGGCATTGATCCAGACTGTTGCATCAGTAGTTCAGTTTTTAGTACTGAGTGAGATGTCAATATAGATATACCATAGTAAACACCTGTGAAAGGACATCAGGAAGTTAGGTATCTAAATAAAGCTGCTGTAAACATTTGTGTACAGGTTTTTATGTGAACCATAGTCTTTATTTCTCTTGGACAAATACCCAGGAGCTCCAAAGTTTTCCAGAATAGCTGTATGATTTTATATTTCTACCAGTAATGTTTGAGTGATCCAGTTTCTCTGCATCATTTCCAGCATTTAATGTTATTCTTAGCCATTCTGGTAAGAGTGTGGTGATATCTTACTGTGGTTGTAACTTAGAATTGCTCTAATAGCTAATGATGTTAATCATCTTTCCATGTGCTTATTTGCCATCTGTGTATCATAATTGGTGAAATGTCTTTTGTCCATGTTCAAATTATATATTTTATTCTTTTTTGCTGTTGTATTTCAAGAGTTTTTTCTGAGATGGAGTCTCGCTCTGTCACCCAGGCTGGAGTGCAGTGATACAATCTTGGCTTACTACAACCTCCACCTCCCGGGTTCAAGCGATTCTCGTGTCTCAGCCTCTCAAGTAGCTAGGATTGCAGGTACGTGCCACCACACCTGGCTAATTGGATTTGTAGTAGAGGTGGGCCAGCCATGTTGACCAGGGTGACTTCAAGTGATCTGCCTGTCTCAGCCTCCCAAAGTGCTGGGATTACAGGCATGAGCCACCACACCCAATGGAGAGTTTGTTATATATTGTAGAAATATTTGTAGGAAAATATTTTTGCCTAGTCTGTAGCTTGTATTTTATCCTAACAGTCTTTTGCAGAGCTAAAATCTTTTTATTTTGTTGAAATCCAGTTCATCAATTTTTCCTTTCATGGATCATGCTTTTAGTATTAAGCCCAAGAAACCTTTGTCTAGCAAAGGTTTATCTCTTTGTCTTCAAGAGGTTCTATGTTTTCAAAAGGTTTTGTAGAGTTTTACAGTTAGTATGTGTTTAGTAAATGTTTAATTTGAAGTTTATTTTCTTGCCTATGGACATCAACTTGCTCTAGTCCCTTGTTGAAAAGACTGTCCTTCCTCTATTGAAATGCATTTGCATCTTTGCCAGAATTCAACTGAGCGTATTAGTGTGGGTCTGTTACTGGGCTGTCCATTTTGTTATGTTGATCTGTGTTGATCTTTTTGCCAGTACCACAGAGTCTTAATTACTGCAGCTATATAATAAGCTTTGAATTTAAGTAGAATGATTCTCCCCCTTTTCCCTTCTGCCTAAAATGAAGGATAGTTCTATGCTTCTCTCCAAAAAAAAAAAAAATTATTTACAGTCGTGTCACGTAATGACAGGGATACATTCTGAGAAATGCCTCATTAGATGATTTCATTTTCTGTGAACATCATAGGGTGTACTTACACAAACCTAGATGGTAGAGCCTGCTAACACACCTAGGCCATATGGTACAGTCATACTCTTAAGTGACCACCATTGTATATGCCATCCATTGTTGATCAAAATGTCATTATACTGCAACCTCTGCCTCCCAGATTCACGAGATTCCCCTGCCTCAGCCTCCCTAGTAGCTGGGATTACAGGTGCACACCACCACACCTGGCTAATTTTTATCTTTCTAGTTCTATCTATTTTGAGATGGAGTCTCGCTATCACCCAGGCTGGAGTGCAATGATGTCATCTTGGCTCACTGCAACCTCTGCCTCCTGGGTTCAAGCAATTCTCCTGCCTCAGCCTCCTGAGTAGCTGGGATTACAGGCGCCCACCACCTCACCCGACTAATTTTTGAATTTTTTTTTTTTTTTGGTAAAGACAGGATTTTACCATGTTGGTCATGCTGGCCTCAAACTCCTGACCTTGTGATATGCCTGCCTCAGCTTCCCAAAGTGCTGGGATTACAGGCATAAGCCACGTGCCCGACCATAATTTTTCTATTTTTAGTAGAGACAGGGTTTTGCCATGTTGGCCAGGCTGGTTTCGAACTCCTGACCTCAGGTAATCTACCTGCCTCGGCCTCCCAAAGTGCTGGGATTACAGGTGTGAGCCACCTCACCTCATCCATATTGTAACATGTATCTGTATTTCTTTTTATTGCCAAATAATATTTCATTGTATGGATATAACACAATTTGTTTAATCCATTCAATAGTGGATGCATATTTGTTTCCTCTTGGCTAATATTAATAATGTTGCTTTGACCATAAGTTTTTGCATGGACATATGTTTTCATTTTTCTTGGGTACATATATACCTAGAAGTAAAATTCTGTCCAATCAGATGATTACTCTTATGTTCAACCATTTGAGGGACTGCTATACTGTTCTTTTTTTTTTTTTTTTTTTTTTTGAGACGGAGTTTCGCTCTTGTTACCCAGACCGGAGTGCAATGGCGCGATCTCGGCTCACCGCAACCTCCGCCTCCTGGGTTCAAGCAATTCTCCTGCCTCAGCCTCCTGAGAAGCTGGGATTACAGGCACGCGCCACCATGCCCAGCTAATTTTTTGTAGTTTTAGTAGAGACGGGGTTTCACCATGTTGACCAGGATGGTCTCGATCTCTTGACCTCGTGATCCACCCGCCTCGGCCTCCCAAAGTGCTGGGATTACAGGCTTGAGCCACCGCGCCCGGCTACTATACTGTTCTAAAGCGGTCACACCCTTTATATTTCCACCACCAGTGTATGAGTGTTCCAATTTTGCCACATCTTTGCTGACACTTGGTTTTTGTTTCTATTTTGGCCATTCCAGTGGATAGGAAGTAGTAGCTCATTGTGGTTTTCATTTGCATTTTCTGATGGCTAATGATAATGAGCCTCTTATCATTTTGCTTTTATCTTTTTTGAAGAAATGTTTATTCAGATATATTGCCCATTTTTAAATTGTTACTTATTGTTTTACTATTGACTTGTAAGAGTTCTCTGTATATTCTTGATACAAATCCGTGATCAGGTATGTGATTTGCAAATATTTCTCCCCTTCTGTGAGTTATCTTTTCATTGTTTGGTTGGTATCCATTTGAAGCACAAGTCTTTAATTTTGATGAAGTCCAGTTCGT